TATATATCAAAGGCATAATTTATTGTGCCAACGCTTGGAATTAAAAAATCATTTATTCATTTAACTTATTGTTTAGAATGGGAAAGTTCCATTTCAATCTTTCTAGAATTACTTTAAAAAGAATGCCAAAATGAAACGTTTCTACATCGAGCGTGTAAATTTATGCTTTTGAATTACCTGCTAAATTACAAAACAGATCGATAGATGATAGAATTTCAACAATTTCTACTGATTCAACCGTGTACATTTTCAAGATTTTGATAAGTTTTGTTTATGAAAAGATCTGTGATGCCAAAAAGAGTATATACGGATTACAAGAGAAATTTACAAGTCCAAAGAGTGTAGCAAGATGGTATGTGTATGCATGCAAGATAAAGGTAATAGAACTCTCCGGAAAATTGAAATTGTTATATAATACAGCAATGTAAACAACGATGAATGATATTTGATAGAAAACAAAAACGGATAATATAATGGAAATAATAACATTCATTCTTCTATGAATATTGTTTGTTACAGAAGTATTTTTTAGAGCTTTCATCTTCTTGATATGTATAATAATTATTGCACAGATAGAAAACAAACCCCAAAGAACACGAAAAATAATAAATATAAGATTCATGATTTTATAAGCATAAAGTAAATTTTTAATACAAGTTGATATTATCATAGATAGGAAAGCAGAAAATAGGGAAGAATAAACCCAGATCATTACAGAGCATGCTATAACAATAGACTCGGTAAGTCGTATCTTGCTCTCTAAGGGATGGACTACTAATAAATATCTGATCACAATAAGGAACACAATGTGTGTACTTGAACAAGTTATAATTGTTAAAAATAGAAAATTAATAGCAATATACAAAACATTATTTTGGAACACAAAATATTGAATGGTAAGATAAGCAAACAAAGTCGAAAATCTCTCAACAAAAGTAATGATGATATTTAGGGTATCAGACAAAGCAAGGCAACTGATGGCAACAAATGTCGGAGTATGAAACCTTTTACAACATAAAACTGTGAAGATGGTCACAACATTTCCTACGAAACCCAATGATCCGATAATGAATATTAGAATCATGATTGATTTCTGAAATCCTTCCGATGTCAAACGAATAGCTTTGGAATCGAGTAAACGGAATGATACTGTATAATTCTTATAAAAATCATACAAGTTTAAAGAATCATCAAAGCCATTTTTTGTTTCGTTCCAGTTTCTTCCTAAAGTTTCGTGAACTGTAGACAAAGGTGTATACGAATATGTTCTATTGTAGTTCAATTCTTTCTCTTCATAAAAATGAGATGAATTCCATCGGAAAGGCTCAGATGTGGATACTGAAATTTCCCCTTGATAAAACATCTTTTCTCCACAAACTGTAAACAAAAGTATTTTCTTTAGTCAACAAAAATCATACATTATTATTTCTAGTTTTTAAAAGTGGTAAACATAAACACCAGCCACTTCCACTGAATTAAAAAAAAACATGCATTGAAGAAAAATGAATTCTTCTAAACATACCTCTTTTTGTATTTACTGGGTAACAGTGGTAAGGCGTGGTCCAAGTTTAACACTGGAAGCCTTGTAGATTTTAGATGTCAGCTAATGTCAGCAATAAAATAAAACCAAGAAGATCAGACTTATATACCTGTTATATCTTCTTGACTGAGAGATCAGTTCCGAGAGAGGAACTGCTTCTAGTGATCAAATACAAAAGATATCTGTAAAAATTCAAGTGCAAAAGAACTTTTCCATAAAAATAATAAACTGTTCTAAAAATAAGTGTATTAGTGTATAAGACGGGTTTTAGCTGCGTTTTCTACAGTAGAACATAGGAGTTTGAAAGCCTATGATTTCTAATATCTATTATCACAGATTAAGGCCTGTAGTCTGGTGTCGAGTAATCAAGAGATGGGCATTCCGTAGTCTTTTCAAGAAGATTATTTAACAGTTTCAAAGGGAAAGAATAAAGTTTGGTGCGAATATAATGTAGGCCTAAGTGTTGATATACATGAAGTAGTTATGAATCAAAAGATCTGCCGTTGGATACACGTACTTCTCTGTGGGTGGTTTAAAAGTCCAATCAAATTTTGATTCATTGTTAATGTTAGCTATAAAAATACCAAAAAATAAACCTTGAATACATTACAAGTCTATCTTTTTTGCCGAGAATTTCGGTTTAAAAATGAAAACGCATCTTTTACCTTTTTGTTTATCTAACACAATTTATGTTTTAAAGTCAATAGAAGTTTTGGAGGAAAACGCTAGGCGTCATCTGTTTTCGCTCTTAGAAGAAACAAACCAGACAACCTTCATATTGGATACTAAAAAAATGAACAAAACCTTTGTTATGTTTACATGTTCATTAAATCATAAAACCTTTGCTAAGGTGGATCGGGGTAATTTCGAGCACTTTGCTTACGTGTGCCTTCCCCCCCCCCCCCCCCCCCCCCCCCCGAAAAAAAACCCGACCTTCTTCGCAAGTACTACGGTTCTTACGAATTTTCAAGGTATCAACGAGAACTTTACAGAGTATTTTGACTAACTTAAAAGTTTTAAATGCAACAAAAGAATAAATTTTTACTCAAAATTAAATATATAGAAATTGTAAAATCCACCGACCTAGGGGTAATTTCAAACACAGCAAACATCGAAGAAGAAAGATAACTATTCAATTACAAGAACACTCTTCCTATTCTCTGAAATTTAATTTCAAAGAAACATTTATTTATAAAAAAAAATCTCTTGAATGATTACAGTGATAAATGATCTTTCAAGTATACTGTTGGTTAAATAAGAGATTCAGTTGATTTTCCAGTGTCAACAATCAAAGAAATCCAAACAGCTAGTGGAATTATTTTTTTATTCTTTTATTCATCAAATCTTTATAATTATGTTAATAGATATTCTCAGATTCCACAAATATATTCTCTTAGAATTTATTTTTTATCAAACTATTTTTTCATTGTCTTTTTATAACAAAATCTTTCAAAGTATTTATTAGAACACAAATTAAACATTGCACATATAATTCTAATATATTTATTTACCATTAGACATATGTTTTGACGCTATCGCACTTTACTGCTAAAATTAACATCAACAAAACTTAACTTAACTTAACTTTAGTTATTAAAAATAAAATGAACCAAACTCATCCTTAATTTCTCTGAATCAAAAAAACAAAAAAAAAAAAACAAAACAAAAACAACAACAACAAAAAATGAAGTCTTCGAGACCATTTAGCCATATAACTGTATATCCTCAGAGTGTCAAGGTTTTTCTTTGATTTTGGAAATCCATACAAACCCTTGACATAAGTGACTATTTTAGGTTTGTGGTCACACAGTGTAATGACCGTATGACCGTATGGGTAATTAGAACAGTAACAATTCACTGTCAACTATGACTTCATACAAAATATATGTCATACAACAATTCTTTAGAATACCACAAAATGGGGTGATTTGCTAATTTAACTTGTGAAAAATCATCAAACTACATCAAAACTTAACTACAGAATGCTGTTTTGTCGTTAGTTAAATCCCATATAACAAATTATAAACAAGTCACTGATCGCAATCAACTTCTCAATGAGACTTCATTTCGTAGAATGTGACGAAGTTTGTGTGAAGTAAGAGGCAGATCAAGTAATATTTTCTCAACAAAAAATGTATTCTATAATAATTTAATTTCAGTTGTAACACGTCATTTGATTGGGTAAAAAATTTAATCCATTTCGTATAACATAACTTTCCTACGTCACAATGAGTTACATTATAAACGTATCACTCCGCTTGACTTTACTTTTAAAATAATGCTCAATTTGAAGCTTTTTTCCGGAGGAAATATTGTCTCACTGTCTACATTGAAATTAAATTATAAGAAATGAAGCTTATTTCAACTTATGCTATCCGATATAACAAAACTTGGGGCAGTTTATGCTTATTTATAAACCGCTTCGTGGTTTATAAAGCGTAAACTGCCCCAAGTTATGTTATATCGGATAACATAAGTTGAAATAAGCTTCATTCCTTAAATAAAATAAAATGTTATTTACAGATACTCTATAGGCTATAAACTTTAATTGAATGTCTTCTTCACGATTTTATTAACATATTTTCTGTATATTACGTATTCAATTGACACTGACGTATATTTGTATGCAAGCACCACATCGGAGGGTAATGTGGAGGTCTTAATAAATCGATCTAGTGCATGGGCATACACTCAATCGATAATAGTAAGCTTTTAGAATACAACTTTAGAAGTATTAAGGACGCTCTAAACACTAACATTAACTGTTTGTTTTGGACTCAGAGAAAAAATATATCATGTAAAGGTATGCATATTGAGACTGAAAAGTGCTGCAATCCTTATGACTTTTTAAAACTACATGTAATTTAATTATTACAATATTTCATGCTGTTGACCAGCATAAAATACAGCATTCAATCAAACAGATATAAGGTTAACAATTAAATTGCAGAATTTAGATAGAATCACAGCACACTTCAGAAACTACAATGCGTGTTGAAAATATTTATAAAATAAACTTGGAATTTTAACTTTGTTATGCCCTTGCACTAGTGAACTTTAAAGTTAACATCACTACTGCAAGTAAACATGCTAAAATCACGTGAATGCTGCATCACGTGACAAGTCTAAATATAAAATCTAATCGTCTTCAATAAGTAGTTATTAACCATAATTACAATTATCCAATATAAATAATGTACTAAAAATAATAGATTATGAATACATTTTTAACGACAAAATATTGTCGATATATCCATTGAACTCCTGAACTGTACAGCGAATAGAATTTTTAAAAATTATTGAAATTATAGAACAGAAGGCAATATTATAATTGTTAGGTAATTAATTTAGGTAGTGTATTGCTTTTGAATACGTTAATAAACAGTAGATATATCTATCATAACAAAAATTGCAGTAAATATAAAAATGAAGCATATTTTATTAGTTTGCACTATTTGGCTTAAAGAGATAGCAGATGCGAGATCTGAAGTTAAAAATAAATCATTAGAATCAATAAAATTTACTTGTGTATCTAAAGATCCACAAGTATGTGGTTGGAAGTAATTACAGATGCTTACCAATAGAAATTAAGATTTTATCACGGACGGTCCCACGAAATATATCATGGGAATGCAAATGGGTCTTTCTTGTTTATGAAGATGTATTTGGTTAAAAGTAATTAAAAATGCTGACCACTATAAGTTTAACTTTTTACTCAGATAATTCCAAGGAATAAATCATTGGGAAAGTAGTTATAAATTTGTTGGTGAAAAGCTGGATTTGGTTAGGATTAATTAAAGACGCTGACTACTGGGAATTGAGCTTTGAAACCCGGGACAGTTAATCTGGTATGAAATGAGCGGATGACGGACATACGCCAGACAAGAGCTGGATTGTGTCTGTCTCTGTTTCATTTTATACAGGTAAGATTATTTTGTAGACTTGCGCGTTTTTGTAAAATTATTAAGTTTTCAGATGGTTTAGTTTATCTACTTTAGTTTATTTACATATTTAAATAGTTTTTATTGTAACACAGTAATCTTTATTATAAGGTTTAGTATTGTGTGTAAAATTATTTATTTCATGTAATCGGATTTTTTATTTAATAAAAGACAAGAGCTGGATTGTGTCTGTCTCTGTTTCATTTTATACAGGTTGAGAATTAGAGCCTGTGAGCCGCTCTGGTCAAGAAAGGTCCTCTGGTCAAAAGGAACGGGATATTGAAGATAAAATAAAATACAAAAAAAAAGAAACTGAATTGAGTCGGTCCGACCCAGCTCAAGGATTATTTGAATTATTTCACTTGGCATCTCCTCTCACAGAAATAGCCAAGATCCCGGGTGTAAATGAACAAACGTATAATCGGCCCAACGTCATTCGGGACTCTGCCTCCTCAAACTTTGATGGTTGAGGTTTAGCAAAAAAGCTTCATATAGGCCGGAGTCCAGGATGAGGTTGACCTGGTTATAATAAGTGGTAGAGAATCCGATTTTCTTATACAAATATATGGAAAATTTGCCAGCGCCAAAGACTGAAACACCATTGCAGCGTTTGAGGCGGGCAGTTTCGCGAGTGCCTTTGTTTCCCCGGAAGAAATTTGTGCAACCGGATTTAGATGACAGGGAAATACTGTTTAACCCGGATACGTATCATCCTCGTCTAATTTCTCCTGGATCAATATCTAACACACATCCCGACGGGTCTGCACGTAAAGAGGAAGTTCGGGACCTCAAGGATTTGGAGACTGATTTACGTTTAGAAGACGAGTTTTATATTCCCGACATTGGTGACATATCACCGCCGCAGTTACATAGCGACAATTCCTTTAATAACTTTGGGATAATTCCAGACGTTAATCGTAACTTCTCTACGTCGCCCCCCAGTGAAGGATTAACCAGCAATCCAACTGGTATTTGGGACGAGAGACGAAACGAGGACCAAAGACGAAACAAAGACCAGAGACCAGACGAGGACCAGAGCCGTCAAACCAACGACGAGGCCAAGAGACCAGACACTCCCTGGGAAGAACCAATACAAGTAAATAAACTAGGACTCACAAATTTTGATGACTTGGTGAGAATCGCAAGTCCAGTACAGCAGCCTACTACAAATTCAGTGCAGCAGCCCATTACAGGTCCAGTTCAGCAGCCTATCGCAAGTCCAGTGCAGCCGCCCAAAAGACCAAAAAACTCTCGGGCAAACCGAACTTATAATATATCATTTGCATTATTTAAATGACATGAGTATCTAAATATTTTTACTTAAAAAGCTTGTCTAAAAATGGTATTTAGATATTATCAATAATGAAGTTATTATACATCTAAAATGTAGACATTTAGATGTTGTGTTCTTAAAATAATAAATTGTTCTAGTTTTCAGCTTTTCTCAACAAAACATAAAACGGGAAATTAAAACCCAGGAAGAAGTAAGTTTCAATGAATACAGCTTCATAAAATGAAATATACAAGAGGATGAAGAACAACAAAAAAATCTAAGCAATTATTTAATATTAGAATCTTCTTTCTCTGTTTTCCGATTAAGGATACATCTGTAAGGAAGAAAACATGATAGAAAAGTAAAGAAACCTTAAGATGCACTGCAAATCAAATATAGTGTTGAGGAAAATATCACGTCCGTTTTTCGGGGAATTTTGTTTAAAATGACAGAGAGACGCCAGTGTTCCTTATTTCTGCTGTTTTGTTTCTTGTTCCCTGCACTAAAAAAAGATTTTTTAAAATTATAACATTATATATAGCCCTTATTACTAATACCTGTTTTCTTTTCTTAAACAATCAGCAAAGATTTATTAAATTTTCTTTTGTTTATTCAGTACATGTTTATGATATTCAAACATATTTTTTGTTATAATAAAGTTGATAATTACATCTGCAATAATTTTGCAGAGGTATTTCATCTACTACTGTATAATTTTTAATCGTATTCTTGTCAAATAATTTTTTACTTTTATTAATTTCTTAGAAAATGTATAGAAAGATCAATATTTGTTTTATTTGTCAAGGATCTTATTATTCCATTTCCATGCCAAAGTAAAATGTGAACCATTGCAACATGTTTATGGTACGTTAGAATTTAGCTATGTACATTACGTAATACGTAAATTTAAGTTTTGCAAACTGCTTGCATGTTATATGGTAACTGAGACTAGTTTTTTCTAAAACCTTTTTGAAATAGATTGGATTGCTGCATTAGCGTACCCTTATGCTGTGTATGGGCATACAATTTAATACAGTTTTCTAAAAACAATATGATGTATACGTCAATCGTTTAGTCAGGAAAGCATCAACCTTAAGTTTCTATGACTTTCTCTTATGAATTTCTTACACAAGAGTGAGGGGGCATATTCTGAATTATGCAATCGGATGGACACCAATATACACATCTATAGACATATCCAATTTTAGAATAAACATTTCCTGTGTACAACACAAGGATGCTTTATGAAGAACAAACCATTATTGAAGCCTTTAAATGAACTGCAGATACAGTGTTGTGTAGAAGAAAAAAAATCACATCCGTTTTTCGGGGATTTTTATGTAAGTCAATCACACTGAAATAGCAGTATTCTTTGTTTCTTCTGTTAATTGTTTCTTTTTTTCTGCCTGTACTAAATAACGACTGATCAACATATTGTTGTACCTGGAATCATAACTATAAAAAAATCTATATTGTAAATACTATCTTCATATGTTTTCCCCTTTATAACAATAAAATAAATGGTTAGTATTTTATTTATATTAACACCCTTCCCCGCAGTCACGCATTTTAACGCATATACCATTTCCTATTTCTAACGCAAAATCAGGCATTTACCTTTTCTCCGCAATCACGCATTTTTCACGCACTTTAAAAAGTCCATTTTATCTTCAATTTTTTGCCAAATTCCAACTATTTTATACTTGCTTGAATCTCATAAAATAAGAAAAGTTATTTTCTAAGTAAAATATTATTTCAGAATATTATTAACGCTAAACTTTAGAGAAATTTGTACCCCGCTATAAAGTGCTTGCGGGGAAATGGTAAAGTCATATGTCTATGACGCGAGGATTCAATATATGTTGCATAGCAATTCTGTAAGTTGTAAAGAGTTAATGATATATTATCCTTACTTCATGAAGTGTGTCGCTGTATTAAAAATATGTTGTCGTCTTCGAATGTTTGGTGAGTTAAATATTCGACTCCTACAAATACTCATCATGATTTTATATTTGCTTCCGATGAGAATATGACACAAAACACATTTATCAAGATATTAATGATACACTTTAGTTGGAAACTGAAAATTTAATCCCCAAAATAGTTGCATCTCATTCACAGGTTATCACAATGTAATTTCATTACATGAGAAAGTCTTGGATGTGTCCACTTTAGGTCAAGATCTATAGTAAATAGTTCCTACAGGTTTCCCTAATTTGAAAAATGTATAAATTTATTTAGCTTTTTAATTAAAAAAATATATTTTAATTATAGGTATTAAGAGTATTTAAGCATGATTTTAAAATGAATTCCATGAATTTCAAAACGCTTAACTAGTATTTAGTACAATTTCTATTTAAGATGTAAAGTACGGGAAAAAGTATCGTTAAATTGATTATGACGTCATAATGGTTCTAGCATAGGCTAAACACATGATGTCAAACGACGTAGGTTCTACGTTAACAAAATATGTCAAAATTCACAAAATGAAAAGTAAGATCTCTTTTTTTTTACAGTAAAGTCAAATGGAAAACACAAATTGAAATATATCAAAAGCATTATTCATTGAGCCAACTCTTTACATGGACAAATAAATAAATTTGATGAATAATCTGTGATTAAGCAAAAGGAAATGCAATATTAATAGTCATAAAATCATTTTGAATAATGTCCATATATGTAAGGTATTTACATCCAGTGTGTGATATGAGGCTTTTGAATTCATTACTAATACAGATCGGAATATAATAAATTTAAATGCAATGTGTAGCAATCAAAATAAAGTAACTCATTCAACAGTTAACTTCTTTTGAGATTAAGATACGTTTTGCTATGAAATAATCTGTGAAGCAAAAAAGAGCATATAAGGATTACAAGAGTAATTTAGGGTTCCTAAGAGAAATTGTAAGAAGGATGTGTATGCAACAAGGGTCCTTGGAATAAAATTAAAACTAAAAGCAAATAAAGCTGATTTATGCATCAAAACTGAAATTTGAAAGCAAATAAAAACTGATAATATAATGGAAATAGTGACATTCATTCTTCTGTGGATGTTATTTGCAACAAAAGAGTTTTTTAGAGCTTTCACCTTTTTGATATGTATAATAATGATTGCACAGATAGAAAGCAACCCACAAAGAGTATACATAATAAGGGAATTTAGGTGCATGATTTTGTTTTGAAAAGATAAATCTTTAGTAATCGTTGTTATAAGTATTACTTTGAAAGCTGAAAATAGTGAGAAAAAAATCCAAATCATCGCAGACATTGCCATAACAATTGAGGCAGAAAGTCGTATTTTGCTCTGTAAGGGATGGACAATAAACAAATATCTGATCATAGAGAGGAACACAATGTATGAACATGAACAGGTGAAAATTATTTCACGTAAAAGATAAAAAGTCATAACCAAAAACGGTCTATCGAAAACAACATGTTGATTGTGAAGATAAGTCGCCAATGTCGAAAAATGTTGTAAAAATCCGGAGATGATATTTAGAGTATCGAAAAATGCAAGGCATCCGATGGCAATAAATGTTGGAGTGTGAAACTTTTTGTAGCATAAAACTGTGCAGATGGTCACAACATTTCCAACGAAACCCAGTATTAAGATTATCAATGCCGAGATCTTCACTGATTTCTCAAATTCATATGATATCAAATCAATATTATATGAATTGAATAATTGGAATGATAAGGTAAAATCCTTAATAAAATCAAAATCGCTTTGTGTTTCGTTCCAGGTTCTATGAGGATTTCTGTCGAGTGGAAACAAGCCTGAGATCCAGACAGTAGTATTGTGGTTCAATTCCGTGTCTCCATTCATGTTCGACGAATCCCACATGGAATGTTCAGATGTAGTTGCCGAAATTTCAAAATTATAGAGGACCATCTCCCCACCAACTGTAAAAAAGAGGATTTTTTTTTAGGTTAACAGAAGTAATACATCGTTATTTATTATTTAACTATAAGAAGTAAACACCAACCACTCCCAGTGAATTAAAAAAATGCATTCTATTCCTTAACACACCTCTTCTGTGGTATTCACTGTGTTGCAAGGGTATGGCGTGCAGCAAGTTTACAACTGATTGTAGATGTTTGGCGTCAGATGATGCTGTTATGAGAAAAAAATCTCATATGATAAGAATTTTATACACATTATGATCTCTTTACTGATAGATCACTTCCAAGAAGAAACGCTTAATCTTTCCGTTTTTCCTTTTTTCTTTTTTTTTTGGTTATCTAATATAGTATATGATTATTAGTCACTAGTTTTTTTTTTATTAAATAGTTTGCCTTATCCTATTTCTCATTGAGAAGAATTATCCCTTTATATTGCTTACTTAGAAAATAAACGCTATCACTGTTAGTTCTACCTGTTAACTCAATCATATCTACTTCACTAGGGTAGTCCGGGATAGCTTTGACCACTTCTTTGGGCTTGTAGATTTCAATAACCAAAGGACGGTTGTTTTTAAAAAGGCTTTGAAAAAAAGTTAAAAGTGCAAAAAACATTTACCTCGTACAGTGTACATCAAAGTAATCAATTTGTATTAAAAAAAATGTATTGGACGGGTTTTCGCTGCATTTTTCTAGTAAAATGTTGGAATTTGAAAAGCTTCTGATTTGTAATATCTATAATTACAGATAAAAACTTGTATTCAGGTGTCGAGTAATCAAAAGATGGATATTCCTTGGTCTTTAGAAAGATCATTTTAAAGTTTCAAAAGGACAGAATAGAGTTTGTTTGCAGCACTGTTAAGGCCTACTATGAGAAATCAACGGAAAATAGACGTGCAAAAAAGGGTTATTTTTTAGTCCCATCGATGGACAGTCACGTGGTGAAAACATAGTTCGTGTACTAAAGTAGGTCATTAATAAATTTCAATATCGCATGGGCATACCCTAGTTGAAATAAAAAATCAGGCTATTAATTGTTTCTGCACACTTTATAGTTTCTGAAAAGTGCTGCTGCTTTGAATAGAATTCGCGTTTTAATAGTTAAATTTTCAAGTAAATAAGCCAATGTAGAAATATGTTTGATTTTTACCAAATACTTTGTGTACTTATAAAATCACGCCTCCAGTTTCTAGAAAGCAGCAGC